AAAAAAAAAACCTTCCCTTCCTTTAAAACATGCCTTTCTCAAGTTGTTCATTTGAAACCTTTTTTTGTTTGGTTTTGTTTTCTCTCGCTGAAACAACATTTTCATATTCCTGCAGCTCATTACTGAAGAGAAGTTTTTTAACCATTGTGCATGTCTCAATAGCAAGAGGTCTTACCTTGGCCTACAAAGTCAACAAGTGTGACCATATAGTAAAGAAAGGGGAGAGTACAAACACACAAGTGCTTCCATTGACCCTGGCCCCTTCTTACACAGTACAACTTCTATAAAGTAAGTGCATCAAATTCCATCTCATTCAACATAAAACATGAAGTATGCTGATCAAGAGTTCATTCTGGTCAGAATGAATGAAGAGAGCAGTCATATTTCCAGTAACTGCATAATTAAGTGCTTATGTCTTAGTTCTCATCGAAAAAAAAAACACTCTCTCATATTTTGCTTTATAAAGCATTTATGCATACAAACTGTCCTTCATTACGTAAAGATTTAAAGTGCAACATACAATAATTGCTTTTAAAGCCAGAATATTATTACTCAAAATTGGAGAGATGTACTTAAAAAAAATGGATAAAAGAAAAAGAAATATAATAAAAAGAATGCATAAAAAAGCACATTTCACAAATCAAAATAATAGAAAATAAAGCCCATATAGACATCACAGTCTATCAAGACAATGTAGATTGTCTTAAACAAGCACGGTTTAAAACAGATGTGGTTCAGATTTTAGAAGTGGGTGGTTTAAAGATAGCAAAAGATTATCTGTGTTTTCCTCAAATGGTTTTGGTGTGAAAGTGTAAAATAAACCATGGAAAACATGGCATACTTCAGCTATAGTCTCTGTGGGCTAGATGCAAATTTAATGCAAAGAAGTCTTCAATGAAACACTGAAGACATCCCCAAGGAGATCCCTAAAGCAACTTAACTATTTTTGTTTACAGTGCAAACGTTTTTGCCAATTCTACAGGAAACTAGTCCAACAGAAAAAAA